CCCCCCCCCCCCCCCCTCTTTTGTTTTGTGTTTGTTTCTCTCTGGTGACACTTCTAATCTTCGGCACTTATATGACTTTATTGTGTTGCAAGTGCTGTAAAACTCTTACGAAAACTAAACTTTTCTGACTCTATTATTACAACAACCCTGTTTAAAATGTACATATGATGTCAACTTTTACGATATAGGCCTTACCAGTTTATATATAAAATATAATAAATCAGGAGGGCACAAATTGGGAGTCATGACCTGAGTATGGCCCGTGCCCTAAGGGAGGGTCGAGACACTTGCTGGAAGGGGATTCTTCCTCTGAAGATCTGCTGCCCGTTCGCCCCATGAGCTTTCTCCCTCTTATAAATAGCTGTAAAAGTGTGGAGATTCTTCTACAGGCTCAGTACCGGTAGTTACCAAAGATAGTAATTTCTTCTCTGTCTCTCGGCCCCACTCTTTTTATTTCCGTGATCATGGTTTGTTTTTTTAAAACTCTGTTTTCCTCATTGCCATATTGTGTGTTCATGCCTACATACAATCTTCAGTCTGGTGTTGTTCTCTCTCTCTCTTTCTCTCTCTCTCTCTCTTTCTTTCCCTCTCTCTCTCTCTCTCTCTCTCTCTCTCTCTCTCTCTTTCTCTCCTTCGCCATTTGTAAGAGGGGATTGTGGGTTTGGAGATGAGGGTGCTTTGGGATAGCGTTGGGGGTGGTGGGTGGGGAGGGAGTAGGGGCTCAGCCCGTGAGCCCTTCACTACCCACCGCCACTGCTTGCCTTGGCGAACCCTGGCCTTGATCAAATTGATAAACCAGCGCAGCCAAGCCCTGAGCGCAGCAGACGAAACACACACCACACCCACCAGTCATACACGCGCGATCAAAGACGTAAAACCTTATACTACTACTACTAAAGACGTCCTGCGTCCTACACTACGGTACACAACTAGAGATACACAGTAGTGATGAACCGATATCACAATTTAGATATCAATGTCGATACCTAGTAGTTTTCAAGATATCGATACCAATACTTCGATACCTAATAAGATAACACGCAGGTATCGATGTTTAGAACATGTATGGAGACCGATACCAACACCTATGGGTATCTACAATGATAGTAATATCAATGATAGTACATAACAAGATGGGCCACTTCTCTCTTTGAGCCAATTAAAAAAGTGTCCTCAAAATTTGGTGGCGCCCTCTTCACAAAAGCGCACTCTTTGCGAACAGAGTTACCCTACTTGAGTTTTTAAAAATCAAAGTGAAACTAGCAAGTTTTGGGATAAATTTCGGAAGAACGCTTTTTAAAAATGATTACGCTGACAAAAAACCTCTTCCGGAGGAAAAGGAGATGGTTTTCTTCGTTTAATTTGACTTTAGAATGAAGGGCGAGAGGTCATTAAAATTTAAAAAACCTAAGACTCCGCACTGAACGTACCCGAACCGCTGATGAACAGCAGTCGATCTGCGCACGCAAGGAGGTGCTATTTCTATTCTTCTTCTGGAAAAACGAAAGAGAGCTTCAAAACAGACTGCAGCGCCATCTGAAGCAAAGAGCATACTTCCTGCGGACACTTTTTAGGCTGAGTGGCCCATCTTGTCTTGTACTATCTTTGATAACACGCAGGTATCGATGTTTAGAACATGTATGGAGACCGATACCAACACCTATGGGTATCTACAATGATAGTAATATCATTGCCATCACGAACAGTGTCGAACAGGCATGATGTGATGTTGGAGGATGTTGTCATTCTTTTGAGTTTGTCGATGGATATAAAATCTTGCACGGAATTCGACTGAATTTGTAAACTTCGAAGATCTAGATCATCTAGATTAGATCTACTTGAGAAGCCGAGACTATCAGTGTGGGGCAGTGAATGCCGTCTTTTACCAGCGTGAGTCGAGGATAACCCGTGTTGTTTACAATTTACAGTGGAACTCGGATTCAACGAGGTCACCGGGCCTACCTAAAAATCTCGTTGAATCCAAGTGTTCGTTATAATAGCAAACATGAGGTTTTGTGGAGATCATTACAGGCACTAAGAAAGTAATGAATAAAGAGAAGTCACAAGTAGTGCCTGAAATGCCTGCATATTATGAGCTGTGTAAAAAAAAAATGCACACGCCTGAGTCATCTCGATTGTTTACCAAAAAGTTGTGTTGCTGTGTGTATAATAGAGCCTAGAATACACGGCAACTTTTGATTCCATAGACCAGCGCACAATTCATTACGTAGATCTACGTCAAGACTAGCTTATCATTGTAATAGTGATCAGTTGCTGAGGGCTGAGGGAAAAAAATAGACTGACGCGTTTGTATAGACTGCGACATTCAACGCCCGACTTCTAGCCCCCTCCCCGACACGCACACACAGTCACACGTGTGCAGGCCGCCCATCCGACCCCGACACACACCAGAGTAGACATGTGACGTGTGCCAACAACGCATGTTGGTATGGAAAAAGGCCACTGATTGGTCACATGCAATCGGCTAAATGAATAAAATGGTTCACAATGCAGGTGCAATGGATGATTACCGGGAATAGATAAAGTTCGTTCTGGGAGAAAAATGAGCGAAGCCATGTCTGCAGGGGCTGTTCATCGTGGAAGGGGCCTAGTTGAATCCGAGCTCGCTGATTTAAGTGCTCGTTGAATCCGGGTTATTTTTATTGATTCTAAAGAAGAAAAAAAAACGGGGAATGTTGAATCTGAGTTCTCGTTGAATCCGAGTTCCAGTAGATCTATTCTATATGTACCAACAACCACTATAAAACATGTTTCATGGCCAATGATAATCCCACGCCTGTATAAACACCATATGAGACTAGAAATATTGTCAATTGTGGTAGACTGCCAACTAAACCAGTTGTCAGACTGCTCAGGCGGAAGACCAGCAACTAAACCAAAAAACATTGAGGTAGACTGACAACTCAGTCGGCATGATGATCATATTCCTTCATTTCTTGAGAAGTTCCACAGGGACATAAAAATGTGTGATCCACCCTCTATATTTCATCAGTATGGTTTAAACTGTTGAGAGCATATTTTAACTAGGGAATATGGTGTATTCTAAACGCAAATCTTTGTCTTGTTTAAATATTAATTTTATTTTTGAATAAAAATCATCCCCCATCCCTGCTCCAGGATAATGATTATGAGAAAGAAAATCATACATGATACTGGTTGGTTTTCATTTCAACGCAACTATTTTTTAATCCTTTACTTGTGTGAACTTCTGGCCATGATATTCCAAGCAAGTCTGATTTTTGTTTGCAGCTGAACTGGAGACTTTGACGTTTGGGAATAAATGAAAATGGGCAGGCAAGACTATTATAGCCTCAACTTGACTTAATAAATTAATTTCTTTAAAATGATGTGGGATTCATTGGAATGAAGCCATGAAGTTTAATTCAATGGATACTTTGTTTTTCACAGAGACTGAATCCTGATTCAAAGGTACACCCAAGGGAAAGTTCTCAACGCAGTGCCAGCATGGAGGGTGCTGGCTTTTGGCAACAGCTGAAGGTGCTTCTATGGAGAAACATTCTTCTGAAGAAACGCAACAGGGGTCAATTAATACAGGTAGTCTCTCCTTCTCAATATGAAAAACACCCCCACAATTTTGTCAGTAGAGGTAGTTCATAGCAAGCAAACTAAATGGAATGATATTGATGTTTGATTAGATGAGATTTCCCTCTCTGTCTCTGTCTCTCTCTTTCTCTCTCTGTCTCTGTGTAGCATTTGGAGGGGGGGAGGGGGGGTGAGTGGTGGTTTGTACTGATGATTGTTTTGGAAACGTGGTTGTGAGTCATTTTGAGAGCAGATCGGCTGTATACAGTGGAGTTTACACTGAACTCTGCAGGACTGCTGGATTTTCTTCCATTTAGTCATGTTTTTATCTTAGACAGGAAAAGCGAGTGATTCTTTCACACCCTTTATATATATTTCATTGAAAACTTTTTTTTTCCTCCACAGGAAATATTGGGACCCATCTACTTTGTAGCCATTCTTGCCATGATAAAAGTCTTAACCAAACCTGCAAGGAAACCCCCAATGATGTTCCCGCCCCACGATATCAACAGTCCAGCATTTGGGAGTCCATTTGTGGGAAACTCGACAATTTTTGTCTCTCCTGATACGGCAAAGGTATGTGTATGATGACCTTATGCAGTTGAGAGCGCTGTAAAACACACACACACACAAATAAAAATAAAGGTGTATTTATATCTCAATCACATTGAAATGTCTGGTGACATGAATGAAACTTCATTTGGTTTTCAGTACTAGGAAATGAAATAAAATGTTTAATTTAAATTTAGAATGTACTGGTTTGATTGTTAGTTATTTAAAAGTGAACTCTTTATCTATTCCCCTCCCTCTCCTGTTTGGTTGAGTCTTTTTAATGGAGTTGGAAAGTAGGCCACACAAGGAAGTGTTGTGATGCCACCTGTAGACGCTGTCCAGACACACTACAGAAATGATAATATATATCATTACATCAGAGACAGAAAAGAGAGTTTTAGGAAAAGTCTAAAGGCCTTTTTATTCAGACTATTCTGTGTGTTTGTGTGGTGTGTGTGTGTGTGTGTGTGTGTGTGTGTGTGTGTGTGTGTGTGTGTGTGAGAATATACATTTCCTGTCCTTTGATTTGTCAGTTGAGTGATAATCCTAATTTTGCATTGTGCAGCATTTAGAACCTTCAGAGATAAGGTGTGGTATAAAATTTGATTATGTTTTCCTTCTTTTCCTTTGTGTTTTTCCTTGGGTAGTTAAGTAGATATTATAAAAAAAATTTTCGGGAAGGGAGCAGAGAATTCATTGGTGAGCCTTGATTGCAGATGTCTGTTTCTGGTCCAGCACTTGAAGAAGCAACAACTTTGTTAAGGCTCATCTCAGTCTGGTTGGGAAATATTCTTAAAGAACCTAGGCTGTACTTTTTGCCATATATCATGTTGATGATTCTATAAATGAAATTGTGCATCACAGTGCTAAATTGGCAGTATTTTTTTGTTATCATTCAGTTTTATTCATTGTCAGGTGTGTGAGAATAAGATTTTTTTTTGTCCGTCCTATGACTCGTCATGTGTGTGTATTTGTGTATGTCACATGACGCACCGGCAGTGGAATCTTAGTTGCAGCAGGGGGTTCCCCGCCGAGCGCCTTATCACGTCGGGGTCATGGGGGTCAGCTCCCTGTCGCCTCTCTCACTCTGTCTGGGCTGACTTAATTTTTGGTACTTTTTAATGTACAGGTTTATGTGTATCCCTATATTCATGGTAATTATCGCTTAATGCCCCCAAATCATGGATTTCTGCTCTTGAAACTAAAAAAGAACGGACATTGTAACTTGTCTGGTTCTTTCGTTAGACGCGCTGAAGTGGGCAATACTAAATTGTAAAAAATCAATATAAAAAAAAACCGGCACGACAAAAAACTGTCGAATCTGGAACATGAACGACATAACATTGATGCAGATACTCAGAGAAATGGTATCTGCGCATATAATAGAAAGCCGTAATGTTGCAACTTTATCCATCAGGCACACAAATCGCAATGAAGCAGTTCCTCCAAATACAACTTTATGTGTCTAATGTAATCGGGAATATTCGTATATTTATCGAAAGTTTTTAAAAATTGCCCTGTAATATCTCTATGAAGAAGTACAAATTCATTTTTGTGCCAGAATACATCTACAATGTAATACACGAACAGTATCCGTTACACTCCAGAAATCCCCTTACTTTAAAAAAAATGCTAAGTCTAGGTTTTGTAAGTTGACTGAGTAACAGGGATGACTTCTCGTAATTGGATTATAAGAATAGTTTTTAGCTTTCTAGTGACACTCGAATCAGCACCCGACTTTTTCAGCTTTTATTTTGGTTTCTATGACCATTTACAATAACCGACAATATTCTGATATCTATACATTCATAAAAGTATCCGCGCATATTTGTGACACAAAAACTAAGAATGAATGTGTTAGCTGTCATTATTTTTATTCCGAACAAGAAGTTTATCTCTACCCATGTATATTTACACAGTTTTGTGGGTTTTAAAAAACGTGTAATATAACTTTCTTAGTTGTATTTGGTTGTATGAAGGCTGCCACAGACAACATGATTCACGAACTATCGCAGAGTAACTTCTCTTTGTTAAATGGTAAAACAAGAGCTAACGCTGAGTGTCTTTTGTCAAAAAATGCAAATGTGCATCTTTCTTCTCTTATAACTTGATTATTACTACTTGCGCTGGTTTAAGATTTCTCATGGTTGTTGTTTTTTTCAAATCGCTTAAGCTGCGAGCATTTCACTCTTGGCAGTGCAATACCTCCCTAAAGTAACCACATGTCCTTGTCATCTGGTCAATGCCAGAGTAGAGCAGGCTCTGTAAGTCTGTAGGTGTGTGTAGGAGCCTGTGTCGAAGAACTGCCAGGTTTGGACAGTGAAGGAGAAGATGTTCAACGGTCTCCTCGTGGTAGTCACAGTGTCTACAATGGGGTTCCCACATGGGGTTAATTCTGTTTATGTGCTTGTTGGTGTGTAAGTGTCCTGTGAGGGCTCTGAAGATCTATGTCTGATCGGCTCTACACAAGAGATTTGAAGGGTCCAGGTAAAAGACATGATATTTGTAGTCAGTTTAACACAGATTTTGGAGAGACAATAATTGCTTCATAAATATGTAAATAAAATAGGACAAATTGGGTACTTTAGAAACACATGTCTAGAACCAAAACTGAGGCACAGAAGTGAACCATTCTAACTGAAAATTAATCTCAAGACATTGAGCTTTTAGTACATCAGTGTAATGGTTTGCTGTGTGGGATGGGGAAGAAGTTATATGGTTTCAAACTTACGCAAAAATGCAAACTTCTTTACCGACACTGGCAAAGTCGCTTCAGGGCTTATTAACCCCGTGACGAAAAGTGACGCTGTGGTCAGTGTGTTTGTGCGAGTGTGTTTGTGTATGTGTGTGTGTGTGTGTGTGTGTGTGTGTATGTGTGTGTGCATGCATGTGTTTGTGTGCTTGTGTGTGTGTGTGAGTTGACATGCGTATGTGTGTTTGCATTTACCATGCTACAGCAAATATCTCTTTGTGGAGATCAATAAACTGCCATCTATCTATCATCCAACTATCTGTCTGTTTTTGCCCAGGTGGATGGATGGATGCAGGACATCATTGGTCAGTTGTCTGGTGGCTCTCCGGCGTATCGTTTGTTTGCCACTGCCGAGGATGCTGAAAATGAGTACAGGGCAAATTCGAGTGGGGTTGGTGCTGGGATCAACTTCCTCGTCGACGGAAATCAAAACTCTTACAACATACGTATGGGCTTTGGCTCTCTTCCCAGCACTACGAAATTGTTTGATTCCAACAAAGGTATCCATTTAGATAAGCTGCTCAATAGTTCTGTTGTGACGTCATTAACATATTATCAAATGCTAGAAATCTTAGGTTATTGAACTTTGTGTTGCATAGTCTGGGAAGACAGAACAACAGACTTGAAATTCTAAAATATGGGGAGATTTTCATGCACCCATGAGCAGTCTAGCACATACATAGCGAAACATACACATTGCGAAGAAATTTTCAGGACCCAGATTTTTTTATATTTGTTTCAGGGCTGCCCACCATTACGAATTTTGCGGAATCGTTACGATTTGTATTCACTTTTTACGAAAATATGATTGTAATACTCTTGATTCCGATTTGTAAAAAAAATTTGGCTACTCCAACCTACTGCCAACTTTCCTGGTGTATAAGGGGAGAAAAATAGAAAAATGATCAGACCATGACAGTCTACATCACAACGTCGCGTGCAGCTGTCTTATCTTTTTATTTAACAGGATTAACACTCTTTTCATGCTGAGCCCTTGTAGTCGCTCAGTGCCACTTTGCCCTTAGAAAAACATTAGACTTTAGAAGTGCCAAAGCCAGGGGTAAAGCAAACATTGAATTCACGTGGTGTTAGAATATTCCTGCCCTTTTGTATCGTCACACCTTTGTTTACGTTTATTCGAACTATACTGGACTACAACCCCTGTCCTTGGCTTGATACCTCATCAAAGAAGATTTTCCATTGCCATTATAATGATGTTTTAAGCCAGTTTACTATTTTCTCTCTGTTGATTACTAAAACATATGCTGGTGGGTGGGCAGCCCTGATGTTTCATTCTTTGTATTTGAAATACGTACATAGCAAAATTTGTACATAGTGAAAAGATTTTCGTGTCCCACAGATTTAACTATGTGTGTTCTGGAGATGCTAATTTCTTGGGCCATTTCTGGAATTTTTTATGTAATGTTTGTTATGTTCAAGTCTCTCTGCTGCACTAGTTTCAATTTTCTATTCTTGTAATTGTAATTATTACCATGAATGTATCTCCAGTCCAGGAAGTTCCTGTAAACTTACAGATATGTACAAGTTGTTAAAAGGATCTCATGTATCCTTGTATGCCCTTCATTCAAAATTTATGGTCAAAATTGCGCTATTCAATAACTTAACTTGTGTCCGTATTGAATTGATATATACAAAAGATACATTCAACATAGTGATTTGCTACGTAGTGTTCCCAGAATCAACCAAATGGTTATCTTGGGTACAAACATACGATTGTTTGAGCTGTTACCGGTTTGTAACATAAATGGAAAAAAAATGTTTCTTTGTTAAATGTGCTTTTAGTATTAGCACACTTCCTATGAATTCTTGTCAGTTATTATATAGATATATATATATATTTGTGAGTCATAACGTTGGAATCAGGCACCCGTCAAATTTTAGGGAACGGAGAAATCAGTGTTTTTCTGACTGAAAGAACATTTTTATATTATTTAGATATTTTTGTGGCTCAGGAACCTTCTCCATCCGTTAAAGAACATAATTTTGAACTGAATTTCACAAACATTTTTATTTAAATCCAAAAATATGTTATTTTATGAAACGAGCTTTCAGCTTTAGAAGTCACCAATCTTTGGCAGCCATTTTTTCACTTATCACACCTGTAACACCAGGTAACTCCTAAGAAAATAACAAGCTTTAGTTTGATAGCAGTAACTCCATTTGCCCAAAAATTGATGAGCGCTTGATTCCCCCACACTGCGACACATTTGTTACTTCAAAAAAATATTTTACAGACAGCCTCTTGGTCTTTACAGAGGAGAATGATTTGCCCCTGAGTAATGGTTTCCTATGTTATAAGAATAATTGCATTGTTCTAGATTCTGATGTGTTTCTCTCTGTACCCCTCTCCCCAACTCATTGATGAGTTACTTGTAGTTAAGTAGTTGATGTGATAAAAATGTAATACATTGTAATCTATATTGTTGTAGTCATTCAGTGTGTGTGCGTGTGCATGTGTTCATACGTACGCCATCAATAATTAATCGATAACTGATGTTCTAACAATATTTGTTTGCTTCTGATGGGTGGTGGGCAGGTGCCTCTGGTGTGTTTTGCTCCTTCTTTCCAATTAAATGTCTGTTGTCCTTATCTCTCCTCCTTTTTTGTTTGTTACTCTCTTGTAACACCCCTTATCTTCGGCACTTATATGACTTTATTGTGTTGCAAGTGCTGTAAAACGCTTACTAAAACAAAACATCTTCGGTCCTGTCAGGTGCTTGTCGAAGCAATGTTAACGGAACTGGTTATCCAGGCACATGTGAAGTTAACAAGTACTTGTTCACTGGCTTTGCACAACTTCAGTTGGCAATTGAAAACATGCTTCTGAGGGTATGTATAATTTCTCACCATCCAATTTGGTAACTCTATTAGAGTTGTACTGTCATATGTGGATCTGACCTCATAAAAAAGTCTTATGAGATACCTGTTGTGCTGTGCTTAAGCAAGAGGTATCAGTGTATTTTGTAAGCACTGTATATATATATATATATATATATATATATATATATATATATATATATATATATATATATATATATATATATATATACTCTATTAGAGTACAAGCTATTTTGAAAAAATAATTAGGTCCAAAAGTATTAACACCCCCCCCCCCCTCCCATTTTATACATGGACCATGTTGTTATTGATTCAGCAACAGCTGGGGCCTCTCCCTTCTGTCCAATGCCATGTAGTGATCAGTGCTGCAGTTGCTGTAATGTTCCAAAGAGTGTATTGTCAATGTTAGGTTTAGGAAGGAGAAGTATAGCTCTGATGCCATTTAGATCCGTGCAGTAGAACAGGAGATGATCCACAGTAGATTCTGTGATACTGTTGAAGAAGAGATATCTGTATGTTTAACTCTTTATCTCTAAAGGGGGTAAACCCACTATGGCGGGGCCCTCTTTGGTATGATGTCTAGAATTGACATATGCATCACTAAATTCATAATTAAATCTAAACAGGGGAACCTGTTCCGATAGCTCTTCATCTAATGAATGAGCTCCCGAATAAAGAGACCGGACCTGCCTTCAGGAATTGCTGAAAAGTAATTTGACTTCAAGTTTGTCGCAAAGGAATGTGCCCAATCGGCTTCCAGCGGCTCTCCAGCACAGCTGTTGTGGCAGCGAGCTGCTGGGAGTGGTTTGCTGGAGATAAGGAGTTATGAAATTCGTTTTTGGCTTACGATGAAACAGAGGTTGCAATTGAGGCATTTTCAAAATTTTCAACGCTGTATCCATTTTGGTAGCCACTGTCATATTTCTCATTGCCATCCCCTGTCCCCTGTGTTCCCACAGTTTCAGTGTGAACTGTCAAACCTGCTCAGACGACCATCGTCTTAGACACTTCCCACGCGCTCCCCCATTGCGTAAAAAAAAAAAAATACCATTCACCTGTCTACAACATATGACCTGATGCAGTTGTAAGCGCTGTAAAACACTCTTAACTTACCTGTTCAAAAGAACCACTTTACTCCTTGACAAACAAACAAACAAAACAAATAAATGAAATATTTGTTTCCGCTGTGCAGGAAGCTGGCGTGACAAGCCCGGACCCAAGGCTTCGGGAGGTGCAGGTCCAGATGATGGACAAAGACGAGTTCTACCCGGACACCTCCTACATACAGACCATCTCCTCCATCTACTTTGTGTTCTCCTTTGCCTTCCTAGCCAATTTCCTTGCTGTCAATCTGGTCGCCGAGAAAGAAAAGAAGATCAGAGAAGGAATGCTCATGATGGGTCTGAGGAGCTCAGTATTATGGTACGTCTCTACATGATCTACGTTTGTTTATAAAGTTGTGATGTGCGTTTTGTGTTGTTGATGAGATGGTGCAGAGAGAGGGCTGAAAGCCTGAATAAAAACAATGAAGACGAGACAAAGTCAGTTCCTAAGACATGGGTGGTTGGCAGGTGCTCTGTTGTGGTTTGATGCTTCTTTCCTATCTGACATCTCTCGTCTTAATCTTTCTTCTTTCTTTTATTGTGTTTGTTACTCTCTTTTAACACCTCTAATCTTTGGCACCTACATGACTTTATTGTGTTGCAAGTGCCGTATAACTTACTAAAAGTAGCTAAAGTTTCTTGGATCAACATAAAGACCTTAACAGGGGCTCTCGTGGCGTAGAGATCAAGGTGTTCGCCTCTCAATCAGAGGTCCCGGGTTTTAATCTGGATAGCGACGGAAAAAAATTCTTTTCCATAGTTGTCTCCTTTCTTCTCCTTTCTTGCTCTCTTGCAATGTTCTGTTGTCTGCTTTCGTCTCCACTTTCTGCCCCCACCCCCTCACCTCCTTTGCCCCCTCCTCTGGGGCTCCTGATTTTTTCTGCGGCCTTTCTACTGCTACTCCTTGGCTCCTTCTTACTGCTGCCTTTCAGCCACTCTCTCGATCTTCTGGTTGGAAAGATCTACACCTAGCCTTCTCGGACAAGAGCGAAAAATCTCGGAGGTACTGCGTGCATGTTGCGCCCTTTAAAGATCCCTTGGTGGTCTAAAATCGATAAGAGTAGGCTTTGGCCTCCTCTCGGGCAAAATTCAAAAGTTCCTATCGACTGAAAATATTTAATGTGTCCCGTGCGCTCATACGACCTTATGCTGTTACAAGCGCAATAAAATACTTACAACAACAAAAAAAGTCCTTAAATATTTTGCGCTCATTGGAAAAATATATGTGAAAAGAAGCTGAAGTAGACAAAGAACAACTTGCCAAGAAGACGAACAGAAGTGTGATGGGAAAAAACCAGGATGATAATATCATAATTTATAGGAGGTGGGGGGTTAGTATCCAGGAAGAGAAATGAGTGACGAATCATAATGGCCGAAATTCTGTTTGGTGAAGAGGGAGGGAGAGAGGGAGAGAGGGAGAGAGAGAGAGAAAGAGAGAGAGAGAGTATCCTATTACGGATTCAGAAAAAAAAAGATGATCCTCATGTGAATATTGAACTTTTACCTGTTAAAAGATTTCTATGTAAATGAGGAAGCTATTTCTTCTAGTACTGTGCAGAGGGATGGCTTTGGCTTTATCGAGTCCCTTTCTACGCTCCTATCCTTGTGATGCTCATTGACATCATTTTGTACACCCTGGAAACAATATCGCTTCCTTAGAATTACAAAGTTCTACTGCAAGTTTTGGCCATTTTGAGTTACTAAAACCATGAAGTCAAAAACCAAATGCTTTGTCTGCTCTATCAAAATCGTAAGATTATTTGCGGGCGTTACCAAGATATTCGAAGAATTGCATTTGAAAAAGCTTGACTGATGGTTGAAGCAGACTTTCTGCTGTTGAGGCTAGAGAGGTGAGCAGAGTAAGCCTGATTCCCTGTTTGGACTTCTCTTTTGACATCCACCTCTTGACGCTCATATGATCTTATGCAGTTGCAAGCACCGTAAAACTTAACTAAAACTAAAACTAAAAGCTTGACATATTGTGAAACTCAAAGTTTTTTTACATCAAGTTTCTCAAAACTAAGTACTGAGGAGATAGAACTTTGTAATTTTAAGGTAACGATATATCTGGACCACCCATCTGTTTTCCAGGCTGTCCTGGGCTCTGATCTACCTGGCGCTAGTGATGTGTGTCTCCCTCGTGTTGGTGGCCATCATTGGTGGCAGCGAATTCTTCCAACACAGCAATTTGTTCCTGGTCTACATCTCCTTTGTCCTCTATGGGGGCTCCATCATGGCATTTGCCTTCATGCTCACGCCATTGTTCAACAAGGCCAAAGTGGCAGGCGCCATAACAGGCTTCTCCACGGTCATCATCAGTCTCTTGTACCTGATCGTCAGCCAGACGCGATCGGAGAACAGCTACAACGCCAACATACCACCTGTTGCGCAGTGGTTCATGTGTCTGCTCTCACCCATAGCTTTTGCAGCCACCATGGATCAGGTGGGATCTTTGTTTTACTTCTGACTCAGTGTTGAGCCATGAACTGTTTTTTTATTTATTTTTTTTTAAAGAGAAAATTCATCATCAGTGTAAATGAGTGATTGATGTGTGAAAATATAAGTTACAGTACTTGTTTAAAGTTGTAGATGAAAGTGAACGTTTTTAGTCTTATTGTCCCTTCCTGCTGAAGACTCTGAGTGGTTGAGGAGCAAAAATATAAACTGTAGTGGTTGTTTGAATTTAAAAATGAAAGTGGCTGTTTCTAGTCTTATAATCTCCCTTCTGGTTGAAGACTTGCCCCTTTAATAAATTCAGTTTACTGTTTTAGTCCTCATAGGGACATACAACAAGACAGCAACTTCTTAGGCACTGAAGAACCATTTCATGTCTAAAGAACTCTCTTTATTTTGTACCATTATTTTTGGTACCAATTTAAGCTGGTCTTATAAATTAGTATTGTGTTGTACATATTATGTGTGTAGGCGTGCACATGTCAGTCAGTCTTTCTGTTCTCTCTTGCTCCCTCTCCACTTCTTTTTCTTCTCCTCCCCCCTCCATTCTCTTTCTCTCTCTCTCTCTCTCCCACCCCACTCCCCCACCCCAACCATCTCTCTCTCTTTCTTTTCCATGTAGATAATATACATATTATTGTCTGCTCAGTGTAAGCCTCCTTCATACGTAACTTTTCAAAATAGCATATGACAGAGACCTACATAAAGCAGTTGATATACGAACTTCCTCACTATGAATACAAATTTTAACAGGCTGGCTATTTCGTTTAGAAAAATGTTAATGATACTTATTTACCCAACTGTCCTGCTTGAATGAGATCTTGCCTCATGTATTTCTTTCTCTTTTTCTCCTCAGGGAATTTTCCTTGACGTGCAGAGAGATGGATTTGACTTTGATGAGTCCCTGACCTACGGGGACTTTCCACTCTACGCTCCTATCCTCATGATGTTGATTGACATCATTCTGTATGCCCTGCTCACAATATATCTGGACCATGTGGTGCCTGGTACGTGAGAGCATTCTGCTGGGAACAACACACTAACTCTGCCATGCTCTAATAAGAAATTACACATTTTCTCTTCCAATATCTGCATTAAATGTTTTAAGAGCTTAACTGCTGTCGATTTTTAAGACAAGGTATTCAAATTTTGAACCTTTTTGCTTTTTTACTTATGGTACTGGTATGAGTTTATGTGCTGTATAAAGTGTGTGTGGGGGGGGGGGGGGGGATGAAGAGCTACGTTGCTGTTGCCAACTGATTGCTTGCATTGTCAAGTGAATATCAGTCTGGCATATTATTATGTTAAGGCTGTAAGTGCTCATATTTATCAGCAGAAGAGTGACATCTTCGCAAAGTACTCATGTGTAGATAGGATACATTCTTCAGAGATGTTCAGCTTATATATTTTCCTTACTGATCTTTTGCTTTCATTTTGCAGACAGTGCTATTTAGAGTTTGTGGACGAGCAAAATTTGAAATGTCATTGTACTAATTGTTCAACCATTAAATCAGTATTTTTTTTTCGAGTTGTCAGGTCAGTAATCAATTACACTTGATTCATTTAAGTGTAAAAGTCTTCACTTTAAGCTAAAATTAATTTCACCTTTCCCAATCGAGAAATGAGAATTACTATAACACAATATATAGTGAAAAGCAGTTGTTCTTTGCAGAAAATGTAAATACAGTTTTACACACTGCTGTGTATTACATAAAAGATGGACATGTTCCCACTGCAGTGACCCCAACACAATGGACAAGTAAGACATAAAAGATGACATTGCTCCCTTTTCGTTTAACCATTCCTCCATCTTGCAGATGCAAGTCAGTACCAGAGTGTTAAGTTCTTTAGCAAGGTTGCACGTGTCTTGCCCAAGGACACATTTAGGTGGCCACTCATCCAGAGGCTGCACATTCACTTTCCAAGTTTTTTTTTTGTGGACAAGCGTTCACTGACAAATAGACTACAAGACCCCTCAACATCATATTTGTATAATGACTAATATGGACTCTATCTTAAAAGTAAACTATAGCCCACCCCTCTTATTGAACAGCTTGACATAGTCTGAAACATTGGAGATCACTGTGGGGTTGCTGTTAAGTCTTTGAGGAACAGAAAAAAGTGGGCTGTGATCATCATGATGTTTGAGGATTTGACAGAGGGGGAGGGGGAGGGAGGTTACATTTTTACTGATGGTATTCTTCAGTTTATTTATTTCTGATATATTGTCTGTACTGTCTCAGGTGAGTACGGTACTCGTTACCCGCCCCACTACTTCCTGATGCCTTCCTATTGGTGCCCGTCTCGGGACCAAGGGGAGAAGACCAGGCTTATAGATATGCGTCAGAGGACCCAGTCTCATGCAGTGGACATCGAGCCGGTCAGCCAAGAGATGGAGGAAAACATGGCCATGAGGTAAGAGTTCTGATACTTTGTACTCTCATACTCTTGGACGAATTCAACAGAATTGAAGTGTGTGACTTGTAGGAACACATTGACAGTATTTCGTCCTCAAAAGTGCAGTTGGTAAAGTTATAAGGGAGCCATAAACTGCACGTGGTTGTCTAGCTGAAATGCAGGTCTGTTTGTGTTTTTACTGAAATACTTAAATTTTGTCACAAGTAAATTACTCAAAAATACAATAGTTGGAGCTGCTTATAGCAAGGTTTTTCCATTGAAGGTTTGTTTGATTTAATGTGTATTTTCAATTTGAATAATTTTTAGAAAAAAGGGGATTTTTCTACTCTTCCCTCCCAGAAAAAAAAATTGAATCAGTGTTTGGTTTTATAAATTTGAACTATTTTGCTTCTGATTTACATTAACCATAATAAATGAAATCAGATTTGTCGAAAATTGGTCTAATCCAATTTTTTTTTCCTTATCTCACTCCTTCCCCTTCAAGTTGTGTGTACCTTTCATCTCTGTAGTGAATCAGCAAGATTTAGTATTTAGTGAGAGAAACTTGTTCTGTGATAAGACTTGAGTTCATATCTCAGTCCTAAACTTGGGTTGTCTGAAGCGTTTTCCTACTCCTGTTCCCGCCACTATCATTCTGAAAGACCCACCATTTTATTCTCTTTATCCATTCAATCACTCCTGTAATTTCAGAATCACATCTCTTACGAAGGCGTACAAAGTGGAAGACAAAATGAATAATGTTGTTGATGGTGAGTAAGAATGTGGTCCAGTGTGAAAATTTGTTCTGCTACTGTGGAGAATTGTGTGAACTGTCTTGTGAGCAAAACGGCTTATGCTATTTTGACAGGGATGTGCGAAAAAAAATAACTCGGTTAATTTTTACTGATCAATAATGAAATGTAAGGTGTGCTGACAAAATGAGTTACTTCTCTGATTTCAACCCTATGGACATATATATGCCAAATTTTTAAGTTGAGTTTGTACAATTTTTTACGATGCATTGATAAAAGACGGACATATTAAACTTTAAGAAAATAGTATCAGTTGGAAATCTACAAATTTGGCTGGCATGTCGAATTTTGACATATCTCCATTTGCAGATTGAGAAAAGTAACAAATTTTTTCAACAGGCCTTTCAAATATCGTCTTGAAATTTGTTCTGCTTGTTCCCTTACTCTGTACTTTTCACAACATTATTCTTCTAGAGGGTCTGAGAAAAGCGGAGATCAGATTTTTTGTTTAAAAGATGGGATCATATAACCGAGTGGCTATTTGCTCAGTCTTTCCTCCTTGTCATCTTCAAAGTTCAGCACCTCACCAGTACAGCGATTTTGACTGCAAGCCATTGGGAACGACTTGCCGCAGATAAGGAGTTGATGTGTAATATATCAGTGAGATGTCTTTTCCAGGCTGCAGCACTCATTACGTTTTTGTAAAAATTTTACATAAAATTGTGTTTAACACCTCCATTGTAGGGCTGGATTCTGCTCGGTTAATCGAAGGCTTGCAAAGCAGCGGAAGTCTTGCGCTAGAGTCTTGCGAGCAGGCTTGTGGTTTGATTTGCCTCCCGCTTGCTACCGGAGGGAACTTCCGGTGAGTTGTGACTCACGGACAGTCCTGCTGTACTGTGTCGTGACGTCGCGAACTCTCGTGGCAGTGGGCTCAGTACCTATTATAGATTCTCTGGTTATTTGCGTTGAGAGGCTTGCACCAAAAGTGCAAGATCGGTTGGTTTTTTTTCATAGTTCGGTTGTAAAAAACAAAAAGCTCTATTCAATGTACTTAAAAAATTAATATTGGATCGGCTATTCTTACGATGTTAAGGCCTGTTTATTTTTAATGTGCACGAGCCAAGCGCTTCATCGTCGCACGCAAAAGACCTCAGTTCGATTCCCGTATGGGGAGAAATTTTTACTGAGAACCTCCGTCTTTCTGCTGGGGCATTGTTCCCTCTCAGCCCAGGTTGGCCCTGACATTGGGTTGAAGTAGGCCTAGCCCGTCTCCTAAATGTTCTGTATTATGTCACTGTGAGTGTAACACATCTACAAAATAGGTTACATACATACGATACAAAAGCCAATCAGAACGACTCCTGGAGTTTTCCATTTTAGGGTAATCTAAGTCAACTTATTCTTATTACTACCAGAAACCTAGGTCTCTGTTACTACAATACCACGCTCCCTCTCACTTATCCATTCGCTTAGCTGATCAACGGCGGGAAGTTAAAAATAACTTCAGCTCTTTACGCCTTGCACCAAAACAAGCCCAGCCTCTCCCTTCCTCCACGGTTCAAAGTTCACACAGCGAACAGTACTGTCTTGCTGTTTGAACACATCGGACTGTCTTGTCACCATCAAGACGGTCCTACGCCATCTAGCCCGTGCCGCTCGCTCGGTGTATCGAGACAGTACAAGTACAAGTCAGCAGGTCAGGTTTTGAGCTTGTCCTGAGGCAAATCTCTAAGCCTAGCGCAAATCAGTACTGTGTGAATTGTGGGGCCTGTGGCAGCGGACGGGACTTGAGGCTTGCGCAGGCCTTTGATTAATTGAGTAAACTACAGCGCCACGCCGCGCAGTGACTCTGTGGGCGAGATCTCTCACTCTCCCCCTCTCTCTTTTTCTGACGTAAGTGGCTTCGCGGATTGCAAGCAGGGTGGGGATGATGAGGGGGCCTGACACGAGTGGCTTCGCGGATTTGTTAGTTGCTGTGGACTTGAAGTTTAGACTAGACCAAGGAGGTTACAGTTTGCGCTAGACTCAACTTATGCTGGTGATTTGATTTGATGATTTGACCTAGTGATTTGAGGCTTGTGACTTGAACTAGGGGCTTGTGAGCACGAGCGGGTTTGCTACCGGGGTACAGCCCTACTCCATTGACACGTTTAATGTCATTAAAGACATTGGCTCTTACGGATCTGCTTGTCTCGGTCAACCCGAGCTGATTGAGACACAGCATCGCAGAAAACAGATGGAGATACTTGATTTTAAAAAACGTCCCCACTCATTACTAGATAATATTGACTGCTTAGTGTTTCGTAAGACTTCATCATATGTCACTTTTCAAAATGGCGTATGGTCGAATCTTGCACTAAGCTGTTGATATGGATAAATAGATGTTGAGGAGAGATTTCTAGACCAGTTAGCTCCTTTCTTAATTTTTTTTTTTGGTACTTTCATTTGGGAAGTAATTAGTAAGAGGGGCTCTTAGCTGACATGACCTTGTACTTAAAGCTACCATCGTTTTGTAGTCTTTTTCCTCAAAGTGTGTCCTATTTCTTAGAAAGCTAAAGTATTTTAAAGTTGATAAAACATTGATGTCCATGTTCTACCATTCAACCATAGAAAGTATGATCAATTTTTGTATAACAGCATGGGCCGGGAACACAAGACAACAAGATGAAGAAAAATTAAATCGACTAATACGGAAAGCATGTAAAATTTCAACATCTTCTTTCCCCTACTTGGATGAATTGTACATAACAGCTTGCACTAAGAAAATTAATTCCATCTTTTTAGACAACAAACATCCCTTGTTCCCTCAAATAAAAACATCAGTCAGAAGTAAAAGACCCATGCTTCTGATCTGTAACAAAGAAAGATACAGAAGGTCATTTTTACCATCTTCTATCAAAATGCTTCCATCTTAACCATCTTGTTTAGTGTACTTACGACCTTAGAGCATGCATCAAAATAACATTGAGTGTGCATCTAGCTTACGATTATTATTGTTTATATTGCTGCTCATTTATATTACGTATGTGATTGTAAGCCTACTTGTGTGTGCATGTGCGTGCACGTGCGTGCACGTGTGTACGTGTGTGTGTTTGTGTGTATGTGTGTGTGTGTGTGTGTGTGTGTGTGTGTGTGTGTGTGTGTGTGTGTGTACTCGTGGTGGAACACCAAACCAATGTGCCAGGATCTGGACAATAAAGATGTATCTTATCTTATCTTATCTTATCTTATCAATGTACTTAACTGGTGACTGTGGTGTGGTGGCGGAGATATTCTAGTGGTTAGGCTACCGAACCCATAATCGTGAGGTTGTTGTTTCGGGGGTTCGCGTCTCAGGTCCGACATTATGTCCTTGGGAAAGGCACTTTACATGAATTTTGCTCACTTCACTCATGGGTGAATAGGTATCCAGCCATAGATAGTGAAAGATCTTTCAGTATATTTGTGTTTTAGTGCAGTAAAATGGCAGCTTGCGGTGTATACTTCCCAAGAAGTTGAGATTGTTTCAGAAGGCTATCAGTTTTGCTGGGGTAACCATATACATTGCAAAACACATACAGCTTGCTGTTGAGCGGGAATTTGCTCTATACAAATGCTATCTAATGTTATTATTAGTGATACGGTTCTTCAACATTGCATCAGAAAATGTGTATTTTATTCCTGAAAAGGGAAGTTTTTTTCTCAAGTATTTCCATCTGTTGGCTGGGATGCTTTGTCCTTTTTACCCCAGTTTAACCCTGGTAGACAGGGTTCAAGCAAGTTTCTCTCTAAGTTATCTAAATTGTGAACTGAGCTGGACGGCTCAGAATATGACAGATATTGGACTTCCACTGTGATGTGATCGAGAAGAAAAAGAAGAATATCTTAATTGTGTTGATTGGGGTTTAAAACATTTACAATTACGATGACAATGATAAACGATTTTCTTCTCAGAATTTAGTCTGGACATCTACAAAAGTCAGATCACGTGTCTGCTGGGCCACAACGGTGCTGGGAAGACAACGCTGATGAACATGCTCACTGGAGTGGTACCTCCGACGTCAGGGGTGGCTCAAGTCATGGGTCTGGTCAGTTGTTGTTTTTTCGAGTCATTTTGAGGGATAGATGCTTCAAGATGGCATTAAAACAATTTTTAAAAAAATCTATTTCTGGTCTATTTTTGTTAGTTGATTTCTTTTTTAGTTTTTAGTTTTAGTAAGAGTTTTATGGCATTTACAACGCAGTTGGTCATAATATAAGTGCCATGGATTAGAGAGATAATGACAACAATAGGAAAGAAGGAGCCAACCACACCAGAGTGCACTCATCTGTTTTCTATTTAGAGTGGTTAGTGAACAAGAACTCGCAAACGTAGTCAAGCAATATCAGGGAGATGGCATTTGACTGGGTGGTCACTGGCTTGTGAGCAAGACACATTGTCCTTAGCTTGGAAAAAAGGGCTTTACTTTAGAGACAGGCATTGGTGTTTCTGTATGTAGAATGAATAGAGTTTTCATTGATTGATATCATGTGCTGTTAATGTTTATGTGCTACTTGCTGTAAACAGAGTTTTCACCAGAACAAATGAAGTACTGGAGGGTTTTTTTCTTTAAAAAAAAAAATAATAATTTTGTGAAAAATTTCACATGAATGATTTGTACATCTCCAGGAAATCACAAATAGCCAACAGATGGAAGAAATTCGGAAGATGTGTGGCATTTGTCCCCAACATAACATTCTGTACGATGCCTTGTCCTGCAGGGAGCATCTAGAACTGTTTGCTTCCATCAAGGGTGTTCCTGATCATCAAATTAAGACTGCAGTACGTTTTGGCTTTTTTAAAAAGTTGGTGTTTTACACATTCATCGCCACAATATAAAAATGTGAAAAATCATATTCAGAATGCCTGGAATTTTGAAGAGCAAGCGTTATTTGTCCAAAGCAAATGTGTTTGTCTAGTCAAAATTTCAATGTTATAAGAAGTTGTGAAGATTTGAGAATTTTTGTTAAGGAAAAAGTAAGAAAAATCACTTCCTAGGTAGCAAGGTCTGATGTGGGTTAAAAGTAAAGTTTACTCCTCCCAATTCTTTGTTCATCACGACCAACACTGCATACTGCTTCCTGTTCCTGAAAGAAACAACTGCAATTCCATTTGTATCCCTACAGTGACCCCGAATGTTGCGCTCTTGGTTGTGCATTTCCAAATGGGTTCTGTATTTTACCTTTACCAGAGTTGTGTGGGACAGATGCTTTGTATCACCGGGAAAATGCAATAATATGACGAGTTCTGTGACTTTTGGGTCAGACCGGTATAGTGTATTACTTGGAAACTGCCATAATATAACTGGTTTTGTGAGTTTTGGGTAAACAGGTTAGTTGTATCATCCAGAAAGTACAAAGAATAATATAATCCATTCTGTGACTTGTGAGTCAGACAGATGTATTGTGTTATCTGGAAACTACAATAACATGATTCATTTTTTGACTTTTCGGTAAGACAGATGTGTTGCATCACTCAAAAAAATCAATGATATGACATGTTCCATGACTTTTGCATCAGACAGGAAAATACTATGATATGATTGGTTCTGTAACTTTCAGGTGGAGAAAGCAATTCGTGATGTGGACCTGGAGAATCAGCTGGAAACTTTCTCCAAAGATCTCAGTGGTGGCCAGAAGAGGAAATTGTCTGTTGCTATAGCTCTGATTGGCGACCCAAAGGTATGTGGATATTTGTTCTTGGTCTTCAGCGTGTGAAAACATTTCTATTGGGACGGTTGAGTTGGGGGTGGGGTGGGGGGGTTGTATTTGGAATTATTATTATTGTTATTATTATTATTATTATCATCATTATTATTATTTTATTATTATTATTTTCAGTTGATCTTCCTGGATGAGCCCACAGCTGGAATGGACCCGTACTCCAGAAGACATCTGTGGTCCCTGCTGAAGGAGAAGAAAGAAGGACGGGTAGTTCTGCTCACCACTCACTTCATGGACGAGGCAGATATCCTGGCCGGTGTGTGTTGTTTATTACTTGTCTGAGTTTGAGTAAAGTGAAGCACATCAACACATTAATGATCAAGTAGTGCTGGGAAGAAGCCAGAGGTACAGATAGAAAGAAGCGACAGAGCGTAAGAAAAGAAGTATGACCTACGAGAGGTGCCCCCCAACCTTCTGCTGCATATTATTCATCATCATCAATGCCTTTCGCCCCTGGCAGGGTATAGGCTACATACAAGCTCCTTCCAATTATCTCTGTCCTGGGCCATCCTTTCAAGCTCGTTCAAAGGGAGGCTCATCTCTCTCGTGCCCTTTTCCACACATCTCCATGTTTCCTGTGGCCTACCCCTTCCTCGTTCTCCCTGTGAGTTCCACTGCAGCGACTGTGTTGTGATGTTATCTATTTGGAGTTCTGTTGTTATGGTTAAAAGCAACAAAAGAAAAAGTGGAGCTGAGGTTTAATTTTACTGCTGTTACAGTAGTAGCATTGGAGGTAGTCTGCTCAATTTAATCGGTATTTGGAGCTCAGTTCTATGTACAATACTTTGCTAAACCAATCTCATCCTTTTCTGAGTCTTATCAAGAGATTTGTGAAAAGTTAGTCTCTCTGTTCTTTTTTTCTTTTTCTTTTCTTCCTTTTTTTTTTGTATGGTGTTCTCATGGATGTCCCCATTTTTAGTGTAAAAGGGTTGGAGGACGCCAATGGTAGGTCCTACTTCTGTGGTTTCAGTCTGTTGATTGTGTATGTCTGTCTCGCTTTTCTCCAGCACTAAATGACCATTATTGTGTCGATGTGCTTCTCTTTGCTCAAACACACCAACAAATTACCCAAGCTTTATGGTTTTATTGGGATTTATCTGTGATATTTGTGGGTTTGTGTTGAAATCATCCTAAGATTGAGTTCTTTAAATAAAAAAGGGGTGAGTGGTTGGCGGGTGCTCTGGTGTGGTTTGCTTCTTCTTTCCTATGAAACATCTATTGTCCTTATCTCTCCTTCTTCTTTTAAATGTTTGTTACTCTCTTGTTACACGTCTAATCTTCTGGCGGTCATATGACCTTTTGCAGTTGCGAGCGCCGTTCAACCTCTACAAAAAAAAAAGGGGGGGGGGGGAATTATGGCATATGTCCTTGCGTAGCATAGGAATGCTTATTGCAGCTAGCTTGAATGTCTTTGTAAGAATTGGTGCTTTATTTTTTTTTCTGAATGTTTATGTAAAATGTTTTGCTCTTTCAGATCGGAAAGCATTTATTAGAAAGGGTAAACTTCGCTGCTGTGGATCCTCTCTATTTCTGAAAAACAAGTTTGGAATTGGATATCACTTGACGTAAGTTGCACCCTTTCAAATCTTTAATTTTTTCCCACCATTGTTGTGCTAAGGGAGTGGAGGGAATGTGCTGCTGCTAAAAAATGTAAAGGGGTTATGGTGAGTTGAGGTTGAATGATCAGACCAGTTATGGGAACCAAAATCGAGGAGATACTGATAATCTAGAGGCTACAGAAATATTGTTTCTGTGGTGACTTTCAAAAATTTTATGAGGGGGGGAGGGAAATAAAAAAGGAAGTGTTGTAAGAAGCCGTTAAAAACAATAAGAAAGAGAAAAACGCAGTTTCTAGGACAACTTTTAATGAACAGTCATTTCACAGTTCACATTTTTCCTATACTGTTTAAGTGAGTAATTGGAGAGCGTAACTGGTAGATTCTACTTCTGTATTTTTTCACAGTTTTCTCTGTCCATTTAGTTGGGGTGTTTTTTTTGTCCAGCACTAAGTTCGGACACAGATTTTTTTCACCTCCTCCTGCCCACCCAGCAGTAATGGGTACCTGACTTCGAGTTGGGGAAGTAAAGGCGGTGTGGAAAGGAACTGGTCACCCTACCACAATATGCCGAAGGCCCAGGAAGTCGTCTCACTAACAAGGCAATCCCCAGTGTCTGGATCGGATGCAGGAACAACTTTACTTTTACTTACTGACTGTCGTTGTGTTAATGTGCTTCTCTTTACTCAAACCTGAAAACGATATTGTATACCTATTTCCATTCAGCACACAAGCCCAAAAGTCGAGTAAACTGCCTACTTGAAATGTGTCTAAGCATTGATGTAAGCTTTCTATTTTTTTTCTACGTAACCCTTCGAGCCCTGCCCCCCCCCCCCCTTCGAGCCAGGGAAACAAGGGATCCTTTGGGCTGACAACTAGATTTACACCATGGTATCAGTGTGTAGGGGGACCGAGTGCATGCCCGAGGATGAATCTGGGTCTATGGGGTTAAAAAAAGGAGACTTTTTAAAAGTTGTCTGAGCATTTTTTAGGCATGTGTGATTATAAATAGGCACTCAAACTCTCACTTCGAACAGAAACAAGCCGGTGAAATATCCAGTTTGAGATCCTTGTGGGTTTTTTTTTTCCTTCAGAATGGTAGTGGAGCCGGACAGTGACACAGAGAGAATCCGAGAATGTCTCCACTCTGAAATTCCAGACATTGAACAGCAACGGAGTCATGGGAAGGAGCTGGCCTACACAGTGCCCATGCAGGAAGTTTCCAAGTTTGGAGGTCAGTGAGTGGGTGGTTGGCGGGTGCTCTGGTGTGGTTGGCTTCTTCTTTCCTATCAAACATCTATCGTCCTTATCTCTGCTCCTTCTTTTTTGTGTTTGTTACTCTCTTGTAACACCTCTAATCTTCGGCACTTATATGACCTTATTGTGTTGCAAGTGCCATAAAACACTTACAAAAACAAGGAGGTCAGTGGACTGTATATGCACTCCGAATTGTTCATGACAGCCACACATGGTGGAGGAGAAGAGTGGTTGTTTTAGACAGGTTGATGTTACTGACAGCATTGGTGAAATAAAGAGAAAAAAAAAAGCAAGGGAGGAAGTGGAAAGTGATTGTTTTCACAGGTGATTGTCTTAGACAGGTGACAGTTAGAACCTGTTAGACTGTATTCTCTTATTATTGTAGTTGTTGTTGTTGTTGTTGTTGTTGTCATTGTTGTTGTTGTTTTAGTTAATTCAAAGGTGGTTGGAGGTTGTCACTAGTTGGTCCTACATCGTATCTTTCAACTGTTGCTTCTGTCTGTCTTACTGTTCTCCTTCATTAAATGACGGTTATTGTGTCGATATGCTTCTCTTTGGTGAGAACTCGGAACTCTGTTATTAATCCAACAGTTGTCGGTGGTTGGTGGGTGATCTGATGTGGTATGCCCCTTCTTTCTTATCAAACATCTATCGTCCTTATCTCTCCTCCATCTTTGTTTCATTTGTTACTCTCTTGTAACACCTCTAATCTTTGGCACTTATATAACCTTATTGTGTTGCAAGTGCTACTCTTACTAAAACTTTAAAAAACCCCATCTAATCCAACATTTCATGGGATTTTTTTGTAGGGAACATTATTGTGTTTGTGTGCACCTCTCTTTTCAAACGGTACAGAAACAGGTTTCATCCCCTTGGCCCTCTACTATTCAGTGGTTTATTCAGAAACAAAATAACTGTTCTGGAAGTGATGAATACAAATAAAAAGGGCGGTCACATGGCACCTGAAAAAGGGACATGAGACCTCACCCCCCAAAAAAATCCCCCCAAACAAACAAACCAACTACTGATTTTTTAAATAGCCATGGCTGACTGTCGAGCTATCTTAAAGAGAACAGATTCTAGGGTTTTATTTCTTGTAATTTAATGAGTTGTGACTAGGCGTGGTGTTAAAGCAGACTTCTTGTCATTTCCACACTTTAAAAAAAATTTTGGTTGCTCTGAAGTATAAAACAATATCCATCTTTGATTGTACTGCGGTAGAATGAATGTTTGCTCATATGTTAGCATTATTAACATTTAAAGAGCGTATGTGTGCACATTCATGCACATGTATTTTGTCAAGACGGAGTTATTGTACAGGGTCCAGAGTTGTATTGTACGGGACTGGGCACTATAGAAATGACCTGCATTATCCTACTCACTGCTTGATGCAGTGGCAATTTATTTGACTATTAGTGAGAGCCAACCTTACTTCAAAGAACCTTGTCACAAATTTCAGGTCTCAAATAGTCTGGCTCTTTTCTTGTAAGTGCAAGAACTCTGTCTCTTTAATTGATTTGTGGTCTTTTCTTTTGATTGCAGTGTTGTTTGGCAAGCTGGACGAGCAGTCTGAAAGTTTAGGGATCAAAAGCTACGGTGTGTCAATGACGACCTTGGAGGAGGTGTTCCTCAAGTTGGGTAAGGATGTGTGTCAGACTGCAAGAAGTCAGACTTTGGGTAAGGATGGGTGTCAGACTGCAAGAAGTCAGACTTTGGGTAAGGATGGGTGTCAGACTGTAAGAAGTCAGACTTTGGGTAAGGATGGGTGTCAGACTGTAAGAAGTCAGACTTTGGGTTTTGAGATTGTAAGTCAAACCAAGAGTTGTAAGTCAAATTAAGAATTATACATGAGATCATAAGTCAAACTGGGAGTTGTGAGACGGTAAGTTCCACCGGGAGTTATGAGATTGTAAGTAGATTGTAAGTTCTACTAAGAGCTGTGAGATTGTTAGTTCCACTGGGAGTTATGAGATTGTAAGTAGATTGTAAGTTCTACTGGGAGTTATGAGATTGTAAGTAGATTGTAAGTTCTACTGGGAGATGTAAAATTGTCAGTTTTATGTGAGATCGTAAGTCAAACTGAGAGTTGTGAGATTGTAAGAAGATCATAGGTTCTACTGGGAGTTGTAAGATTGTTAGTTGTACTGGCATTGTGAGATTGTAAGTTTTACTGGGGGTTGTGAGATTGTTAGTTCTGCTGGGAGTTGTGAGATTGTAAGTTCTACTGAGAGTTGTGAGATTGTTAGTTGTACTGGGAGTTGTGAGATTGTTAGTTCTACTGGGAGTTGTGAGATTGTAAGTAGATCATAAGTTCTACTGGGAGCTGTGAGGTTTTAAGTCAAACATGGAGTTGTGAGATTGTATGCAGCATTTAGTAGATCGTAAGTTCTACTGGGAGTTGTGGGATCATTAATTCCACTGGGAGTTGTGAGAGAGCAAGTTGGTCATAAGTTCTACTGGGAGTTGTGAGATCGTTAGTACCCCTAGGGTTTGTAAAATGGTAAGTTAAGCTGACAGTAATCATTTTGTAAGTGGAACGGGGAATTTAGAGGTCGTGGGTGTGATCCCCAGTAAGCTCAGCTTGTTAAGACATCTCAGTTTTTTCCTCATAAAAGATTGGACCTATGTTAGTGTCCTCAGTTCACCCCCACTCCTAATGGATATGTGCCTGGTTGGATGGAGGGCACCACTGGAAAGTCTTGTTCCCTATTCTCTCCATCTCTTGTTGTGTCGGTCTATCTTATTTTTTCTATTCCCTAAATAAATGTTATTGTGTTAAAGTGCTTCTTTTTACTAAAAAACAAACAAACCCCAGCGAAACACAAATGGAAACCTGGCAATGCTGTGAATCATAGCCATTGAGAACCACACTCTCTATGTCTCAATGTAGAGTGATAGGATAACCCGGAATGAACCAACCGGCCGAGGAAGCCTTTCTTATTTTGTTTACTCCTTTGGTTTCATGGGGTTATGTTTTTATCATGAAGTAGTTCATTTATTTTTTATAAAGTCACTATTGTTAAGTGGATGGAATTGAGAAATTTCAAATTAGGCTTAACTTTGAAAAATATTTGTAACCTCTTTTTCTTTTTCTTTTTTTTTTGTGATGGGGGAAATGGTGGGGGGGGGGGGGGGGGGGTTTAGTTTTAACACCAAGGTGTTTTTTAAATTTTTTATCAAGTCCCTATTGTCAGAAAGGAGGGAAATTCCAATCCCAGTTAGGCTTACTTTAAAATATTGGTACCCTCTCCTTTTTCTCTTTTGAAGGGGAAAGTTGTGTATGTGTGTTTGTGTGTGTGTGTGGGGGGGGGGGGTGGGGGAGGGGGCATTATTTACACAACAGAAATGGCCATGGTATATTCAGGCATTCTGGAGAATTTATTGTCTTATTGAGGGTCTGTTTAATTATGACGGGCAACCCAGAATTTTAGTCGTAATAAGAGAGGTCTATCTCTATCACTGTCATGGTGGTGCATTCCTCAAAAGTTCCTTTTTATCCATTAATTCTTTCTAGAATTAATTCTGTTACTATTGGTGTTCTATAGGTGGGTGGTTGGCAGGTGTTCTGGTGGGGTTTTCTCCTTTTTTCCTATCAAACATCTATCATGCTTATCTCGCCTCCTTTTTTGTGTTTGTTACCCTCTTTTTACATCTCTAGTCTTCAGCACTTATATGACCATATTGTGATTGCGTTGTAAGTGCAGTAAAATTCTTACTAACAGCTAAAAATAAACCTATTCACTAGGTGACCATCACCAGTCACCTCTTTGACCCTGGCATTGGATATAGGCCACCAAGAAGGGCTCTCCACCTGTCTCTGTTCTGGGCAGTCTTCTCTACCTCCGGCCAGCTGTGTCCCTTATGCCCGAGATCTACCTCTAGATCTCGCCCCTAGGTGGATCTCGGCCTTCCTCTCTTTCTTTTCCCTTGGGGGTTCCATCTTGTCATGTAATAATGTTGTGAAAAGGTATTATTTTTCTGTGCAGAAGAGGATCATGTCATTGATGCGGACAGCGAGGAAGTTGGCCGCCGAAACGCAGGATTTGAAGCGAACAATGAGGATGTGACCCTGATGATGGACGGAGATTTGGGCAAAAATGTGTTCACCAAGTCTGTGATCAGTGGCCGGGCTCTGTGGAAACAACGATTCCAGGCTCTGGTCAAGGTAAGTGCTTATCTTCTTGTCAGTGGTCAAAGTCAGTGGTTAGCTTCTTGTCGGCGGTTAAGGTCAGTGGGTGGGATGTTGGAAGGTGCCACTGGTAGGTCCTACTTCTTTACTTTACCTCTCTGTGGTTTCTGTCTGTCTGTCTTCCTAGCACTAAATGACTATTATTGTGTTAATGTGCTTCTCTTTTCTTAAACAAACAAACAAAGTCAGTGGTTATTACTCATAACTGACTCTTGTAGCCTACTGCTGAGTTCCTCATGGCGTCATTTTTCGCAAGATTCTGTGACTTTTAGTTAGCGTGACTCAGCAGCCCGCCAGAGCTCCCCAGTTCGGGGCTATGGGGTTAATGAGCATTGAATTGACTTTACCGGTGTTGGTTAAGTAGTTTGCATTTTTTTCAACGTTTGAAACGAAATGACTTTTTCCCCATCCCACACAGCAAAGCTTTACACTAATGTACTAAAAACTCAAATGTCTTGAGATTTATTCTGTGTTAGAATGGTTAATTTCTGTGCCTTAGTTTTTGTTCTAGACAAGTGTTTGTAGAGTATCCAATTTGTCCTATTTTAGTTACATACTTATGAATACATGATTTTTTATTTTAAAATGACTCAACAGATCTCTCCAAAGTCTGTGTTAAACTGACTACGAATATTATGTCTCTTACCATGACAAATTTTTAATCTGCGCAGTTAGTAATAGTCAAATTATAAGATAAGAAAGATGCCCATCTGCATTTTTTTTACATTCGACACCCAGCATTGGCTCTTGTTTTACTATGAAATACACAAGAGAAGGGTACTCTGCTTTTGTTCATGAATTAT